ATAATATGAGCCCTATAATTCTGATTTATAATAGCTATATACCCGCATACCCGTATAACCGTATAACTATAAATAATTCAATAGACTAATTGGCCGATTGTTTGCTACTTTGTACAGAGAAGTATCGTCTTTAAAAAGAGAGAAAGAGAATACTTAGGAATATGCATACCTTATTTTGAAACTTTCATCGATTTTTAAGATTCCGTCTAAATCAAGACAGAGAGAAACGAGTTGGATTTCAAATGAAACGTTTTTTATAAATTATTAATTGAGTTACATTTAAAATAATATCGTTACCACCTAACGAAATTTTTAAGCTGAGCAAAATACCATTAAATTTATGACAAATAATATGCGCTAAGTAAACGTTTCGGATAGTTTTAATTTGAAGCTTACTTTGTAATAGAGTTAGAAACTAACGAAACATATTATATTAAGATTATAAAATTGAAGCCTTCTGAGAATTATTCGTGATTGTTTTTTAATTTAAAATTTTTTGAAAGGTTTTTCCCTCTGAAAGCTTTCGAGAAAGTTTATTTTAAACCTTCCTTCAACTTTATTTTAATTCTTACTCATTCCGATCAAAAATGTATATAGCTTTATTATATTGTAATTTTCACAGGCTTTTAAAACTTACTAATGTGTTGTAAGCCATTGTCCAGCAAAAACAACAACAACTACGATAGTGAGCACAAACACTTATAAATCAGTTACAATTGGCAGTTTAAACAACAATAAAAAGACTGTGTACCGCATTTTTTATATGCATGCACACACATTCACAAATCAACCCACACGCATACATACATACATATTCATTGGTGTGTATGACTTGCTTGCGCATAACCTTGAGAACGCTGACACAAGATTATATGTGCATATATGCTATGCTCATAATCTACGTGTCACTTACAGATACTAGCAGCCTGAAATTCTGTTGTTGGTTTAACTTTTTAAATCAATTATATTTTATATTTCCCTTTTTTTGTTTTTAACGAGTTTATTTTTAACTGCGCAGATAATCTTTTTTCAATAGCAATTTTTTTATCGCCTAAAATAACGGAAAATTTTTCATTTTCATGTTGAACGGGTTTCAAATATGTAAATAGTAAATAAAAAATATCGCCCTGCGTTAATATCAAAGAAATAATTACTTATTAAAACAAATTAAAACAAAATCCGAAAAAAAACAAAAATCAATCAAATAACAACAAATCGCCACAGTTTTCGCACCACAAGAAGTGCATTGCATGAAACAAATAAATGAGTTTTTGTGTAACAAAAATGACTTATACATTTTTGGCTTAACAAAAGGTTTTCAAAATTAGCAACAACAGCAAAACAACACAAGTTGTTTAAAGAACTGCTTTAACGGCGAGTGAATAGTGAAATAATAGTAACAACAACAATAAAGAACTGTACACACTAAGCGTGGATTCGGCGCACTCACACACAGCATGGGAATACCAGCGCTTTGCGACCACGGCTTTCTGCTGCTGATACTGGTGATTTCGGTGCTTGCTGTCGTGCAGTCACAAGGTAAGTTCTTGGCCGATTGAATGAGTGATACTTCACACTGAATTATAAAATCTTTTTTATTCATATTCTTGGGGTACCCAACCGTCCTCCAGTCATACCAACATTTGTTGCTTGAATTCTTGAGAAATCATCGCATTTAACAGGAATATTTTACGGATACTTGCGAATCAATGTGTGGCGCTCGGTCCAAATTTTGTTCTCCCCTCGTTGTAATTTTTTGTGTGAAGTATTTTTGGCTTCATTCAAAATTTATGGCCGCAAAAAATTGCACAGCACCAATACCAAGCAGGAAATGAATGCATTCTGAATAATATATGCGGTTCAAGTTCGTTTCTTTGCTTGGGCAGCAACACAAAGAACTTTGTTGTTGTATTTTTGTGCAATTTTAATGTTTAATGTAAAATATTAATGAAATTGTATAAGCGAATTGCATTCGATTGGATTTATTACACTTGTGTAAAGAAATTCTATAAAAAGCTTGTCTTAACTAAACTACTAAATCTATTTTCATCTCTGCCACAAATATCGAAGGTGTAGACCAAAGGGTGGAACGTAAGTTTAAATTCGAGAGACAGAACCTAAATTTATTCAAATATATATAATATAATCCATATATGTTTATATTAGACAGGATTCCCAAATAGTGATAAATTGGTTTCAAAACTCTGTTATGTTCCCACCCGTAATCTACTCTAAAGTTATTAAAGAAGACTATAGTTATAACAAAATATCAATATACGTCTTCTTTTTAAACACACGTCCAACTATGCGGTCTTTGATACATGTTTTTACTCCTACTTTTTGTTTATTTTGGAAAACAATTTTGTCTTGAGCAAAATTTCTATATCTTGAGCAAATTCCGTTGCAATATTTTAATCTTACCTTTTTTGAATAATCGAATCTATTGCTCCCTTGTCGGTCAGTCATTTCGTAAAATTTTGAATTCCTTGAATCTTAAAGCACCTGACGCTAATAAGAATTGTTTCATAAGAAAATCAATATGTAAATCGTTCCCCTTGAACAATTCAAGCAAATTAAAAGATAATTTCCAATGATATGAGGAATGATCCAATAGTCTGGCTACACTTCGCGAAGTGCAACAGGAGTCAAATTTAATTTTTTTATGACGTTTGATCATTATATAGGTCAGATATTAACATAGAGTTTCACCAAAGAGAACTCGAGCTCACAATTCGGTAAAAAGTAGAATGCGTAACATTTAGATCTGTAGCCAACTTTTACACAGGCAATCTGGTTCATAGCACACAGTGAATGCATAGACTTACAAAGCCATTTGAAGTTGCCTCTAAGACTTCGTAAATTAATACGGTTTCTGTAATAACTATTTATTCCAAGCCTCCTTTAACTTCAAAGTTTCATGTTGATATTACAAAATAAGTATTTCTAGAATATTCCTAGAAGGAGTGGAAATACTTACGTGATTCATATATTTTACGAACTAATTTGCATTTACTCATCGTAAATTTTTTGAGATTAACCGATGAACGGCAACGGTAAAACCATGCTAAATCATCAATTGTCAATTGTGTGAAGCAGAGACGATTGCAATTTATCCATGAAAATATCAACTGAATTTAAATAAAATGCAAAAAAGGCAATAAAAAGCAGAGCGAGATATACAAGTATATATAAATATGTTTGCGTTTTGCTGTTCCTTATCACTTCCGCTGCCCATGCCACATACAGACACAACATTTGGCTCATTTGGCTCTGGTATGTATACCCGATAAATACGCGAATGTATCTATATATGCATTAGTATTAGTGTGTACTTTTTGCAACGCTTTGCTGTGACCTTTGTGCACGCGCTGACGGCCGGAAATAATGTTTACTGCCACCAAGCGTACGCATGGAGTCAACGGGTGTATATACTTGTATAATATAGCATTAATAAATAAATAAATAAATGTATATACTTGTATGTACGTGCATTTAATGCGTGTAGTTCTCCCGTTCTTGGGGTTTCGTTTCATGTTACAAATTTGCAGAAATGCGGCTCGTGTAACTAACTGTTACAACATTTTCTACAACAAAATAATAAAAACAAAAGAGGCAGCTCGTCTGAAATTTGTATTAAAAATAAAAATAAAAAAGATAATAATTTTTTTTCCATAAACTGAATTGTTTACGCGTACGTGTCACGCCGTTCCATTTGCGGTGCTTTTGACTTCCGTGTGTTTTACGGGAATGAAATTGTAAAATATAATAATTCATATTTTCAATACATCTTGTGAAGTTTTTCAATACCAGAAGCAGCGGTAAGCTACACTTCCATCTCGCTATACTCTCATCTAACTACTTATGTGAGGTCGAAGTATGCATAAAGCATTTAAAAAATCAATAAACTTTCATATTTCCGCTTCTTAGAAAATACAAACTGATATTTAGCGCTAGAATAACAGCGTAACATTGATTTGTACGGAATAAACAACGTTTGAAAAATATCGCAAATATCCATACAAGTTAGGATCTGGCGGAAACAAGAAGGAGTATTGCTGAAACACGGATAATTCGAAAAGTGACAAATATTATCCAAAGAAATTCGCATCCATCTCAACCTCGTTGAGCGATTAAGATCAATTGGTAGTCAGTACTTTACTAGAAGAAACAATTTGGTGGAATGTCTTTATCACTCTCTCCTCTTCAGCATTTATAAACTATTACTCGAATATACCAATTTAGCCTCGAGATAAATTAAAAAAAAAACCTATATTAGCAGAGCTTCTTTGCAAAATAATTAATGCAATTTGGTGAGCTAATTAGAGATATGATGAAAGGTGTATTAGTCAATTAATGAAGGTCAACTTCCTTGTGTTATATTATGAAAAATACAAACATAATTTGCAGATTTATACCTTTCATGAATGTATGAAAATATTCGAATATCTAATATTATTCTATTATATCTATTGATCTTCTGAAGCGATACCGATACACATATGCAACCTTTTTTTCAATCATCGAAACATGCCTTGTAGGTCCGGGTCCGGGATCACCTTCAGTTCTCTCTGCGAGGTCTTTTTTCACCTAAAAGTGGCTGTGCCACGCCCACTGTCTAATTTTGAACGCGGTTCCTATAAAGCCAATTTATACCATCTCAGAGATAAATTTAATGTCTCTGGCGTGTTTAGTGCTTGATTTATCGCGCTTTAGTAGTTTTTAACAGTACCGTTATATGGGGGTGGCGGAGTTGTTACCCGATTTCAAATATTTTCACACCGTCAATAGAAGTGCTAGAAACATTTGCTTCCAGTGAATTTTGTTATTATAGCATTAGCGGTTTAGGAGATATGCACATTAAACCTATTAGAGGCGGGACCACGCCCACTTTTAAAAATTTAACTGCAGATGCCCCTCCCTAATGTGATCCTGTGTACCAAATAACAGTCTTGTATCTTATTGCGGAGCTTAGTTATGGCAAGTTATTTTGTTTTGATTAATGGCGTTTTGTGGGCGTGGCAGGGGTTCGATTACGCCCATCTGCAATATCCAACCGTCTCACGGTACCATGAAACATGTCTACCAAGTTTCATAAAGATATCTCAATTTTACTCAAGTTAGAGCTTGCACGGACGGACGGACAGACGGACGGACGGACAGACAGTCACCCGGATTTCAACTCGTCTCTTCATCCTGATCATTTATATATATATAACCCTATATCTAACTCGATTAATTTTAGGTGATACAAACAACCGTTAGTG